GGCGCGCGCGGGAACTCCTTGAGCGAGCGGCTCAGCGGCTTGGCCTTGCCGTGCGCCTGCGCCTGCGCTGCCGCCTCCAGCTTGTACGCGCTGCTACTGCTCGCTGGCGATGTGGCGCTCTTGGGCAGCGGCTGCAGCGGGTGCTCGGGCCGCTCGGCCTCCATAGCGAAACTGACGGGCCTCAGGAAGCAGATGTCCAGGCTGGACTCGGACGAGGCAGGCGAGCAGTTCTCGAAGAGGGCCGGGGCCTGGAAGGGCTCCTCGTCGTAGGGCGCGGGCAGCGCGAAGATCTCGCCTCCGTACTCGAATTCCTCGTAACCTGCGGGCACGAAGCCGCGGGCGTCGGGCAGCAGCTCGGCCGGGGCGCGCAGGGAGCGCTCCACGTTGCCCAGCGGCTCGGCCGGGGCGGGCTCGAAGTCCATCTCCGGGATGGCCTGCAGGGGCCCGGCGAGCGCCTTCACATCCTGCTCGGCGGCGCAGAACTGCGCAGGCGCCAGGAGGCTCTCTGGCCTCTCGTGCTTTCTGCCCTCCATCTCCCACTCGCTGGGCTTTCCGGGCTGCATGCTCTCCATCAGACTGGGCTGTGGTTGGCTTTTCTTCACAGGAGGCAGCAAATGTCTTTAAAGGGGAAACAATACAAAACAGGTGTGCTTATTCCTGGTTAAGCAGGACTGTCACCGAGCTCGAGGCGGGAACACACAACCTGCCCGACACTGCCTGGGATTTGAACCACCCGCGCCTTCTCTTCCCCTCCCGGGCGCCTGTGTCCTTACGAAGCAGCACACACTTTTCCAATTAAGAGTTCCCAGGAGGCCCTGTCCCCTAGATGGGAGAGTGGAACCGGCAGTTGGTACAGCGGATTCCCCTAAAACCTGCCTTGTAACACCAAGACAGAAAGACACAGACTAGAGAGCAAGGGCTGGCCTGGGATGGGGAGAGTTTGGACTCTCACCACTGGAGACCTGCTATTGTCCCATGCATCACTAGCCTCAATTTTCATTTTGTTGTTCAAAGTAACGGAAACTCAACTTTTGTTCTACTCATGGAACTGTACACTTAGGTGTAATTTTAAGTTCCCAGAGGAAGTAAATATGGCAAGGCCTCGATTTCATACACTTGAATGAATAGTGAGCATGTGGGGTTTACCCTTTTTATGTATATTTGACATTTTCATAATAAAAATATTAAAAAAATTAGCACGACTGCATTTATATAAGTCATCTCAAATTCATCCACAAAAGCATTCCTGAAATGTAGATGCTATCATTGATTGAATCGGTCCAACCTCATGGAGGCTTTTCCTTATATCATGGACAACTAGTAGTTTACGCAACAACAGAGAAACCATGAGCTCAAATATGATTCTCCAGTTGTACTGGAATTTGGCTGCCAGTCAGATGCACACTGACCAAAAGTGATTAGTCTGGTAGTTTGTTCATGTTTTAATTTGTATCACAAAAACGCACAAAAGAGAAACTAACACTTAAATATTTTACTTTGGTGATCATAAAATGAAAATTAAGTATCATATTTACATATGAGAAAAAGTGAAATGAAATAGTGATCTGGCTTGAATTCTCTTAGTTTGCAAGACTGTTTTAAAAGTTTTAATTCTCTTAATTTGTGAGACTATTTAGACTTTTTTCCCTTGTTGCTTTTATTTAGTCTAATCTCTTGAGATTTCATTTCTTGGGGTTCCATTTGTTGCACTTCAAAGTTGTATTATTGACTAAAAAACCAAAGTAATCCACAAAGAGAAAGCTTGCTTTCTGCCTGTGTCCTCCACACCTCCACCTGAAAAGGTCATTTTTTGTGTGTGTATGCATAGCCCTCCATCCAAGACTCATAGGATCTCCTCTTTAGTAAGGAAATCATTCTGGGCTCTATTTGTTGTTTATTTCATGTCTCCTTGGTTTCAGCAGGATTTTGCCCCTTTTACAAAATTTCTCCTGCCTCCCCACATTATCATTTCCACCTCTGTGAGAAATTATTTCCTAAACAGGGGATAAGGTTTGTGAGAACTTACAGATGTGATAAATACAATAATTTTGTACTTCTAGAAGTTCCAGTTTCAAAAGCAGCTAATTTGATTTTGTCCTTAAATTGTAGAGGCAAAATGAGTTCTTGTATGCTAGAAGGTTATATTCAGAGGCTTTAACCAGCTGTCTGATTCTTACAGTGCCCAGAAGAGCAATCGTAATTGTTGAGGAGAGCTTATAAAAAGATGCTTCCCTAGTGTTCCTTACAGATTCAGAAAGCACAAAGCAACATTCTTTCTGTGTCAACTTATTCTCTGAGTCCAGATTTCCTTAGACTTTGAACTATAGTTCCTAACAACAGCATATCTTTTAGAGATTTTTAACTTTACACTTTTCTGGGGGCCTGTAAAATATCTCCCTGTTCAATCTGTCATTGTCTAAAATCAAAGAGATTCCGGTTATAAGTGGAGGGTAGTTGCGTAGGTGTTAAAATTGTTGAAAACAACTTCTAGCCTTAAGCGTGCCCCTTAACATTAGTGCTTTCTTCTGGGATCCAGACCAGACATAAGGTAAGCTACTTGGCTGCTACATAAAGTCCTGGTCCAGGATGTCCTACAATCCCCAAAAAGACTCTCTGAAACCAGAGGACATTGCCATTTATCTTTCCACAGCAAGAGGTACTTACGTGACAGCAGGGCCAGAACTGGGAGCAGAAGGGTAGGGTTGCAGGATCTCCTCCGAGTGGATCCCCCCGTCCCGGACAGCCTCAGGGCCAGCAGTGGGGGAAGCATCTTGCCCAGCGTTTGCACACTGGGAAGCCAGACCTTTGTACAGCTTTGCCATGGATGACCTAACAGAATCGAGGCAATCATTCTCAAGATATGTAGTGGGAAGTTGACTTTCTGAACATGTAGATTATGCCAAGACTGTTTCTCAAATGAGAAACCTTTAACCAGGTTGCCTACACAATAGGGGGCAAGCTAGCTGCGGGACAGAAGGACTGCTACATAATTAATGGACTGAAATGAGTTTGAGGGAACATTTGCATTACAGAAGCAATAGCTTGAGATATCTTTTCATGGACTGAAGCATTCATAGACATTATTCTCTTTTCATCCAATAACTTGGACTGATGTTGAAGGAAACTGAGCTATTAGCTCTTCTGTGAACTACTTGTATTCCTTTTGAGGCACTAATTTTCCCTACTCAGCCTTTACTGTGTGTTCCTATTATGACAATTATGACATCTGATCAGTCTCCTTCACATATTTGCCTTTATCCACAGAACTTATTACCACCTTAATTAGTCACTGACTGGCCAGCTCTAGAAAATACTAACTCCCATGTGGCTATTGTCTTCTCTCTTCACAGAGGTTTATCTAAAGAACTTCCAAAAAAGCTAGCCTCCAGAAACTCTATGAACTTAAGAGGAAAAAAAGAAAGTTTTTCATGTTTAAAACTTTCATTCATTGGGTTACTATGAGTCATCTACGACTTAACAGCACTTAACAACAACAACAACAAACACTGCCCAGCACTCAATAGTTGTTTAATGAATAGATATTGAATTAATGAAACAACATTTTGACCTATAAACTGCAATTTTGAACCAGACAAATTTAAGGAAGCGGAACTATTTTTGAAGTCTCAGCAACACAGGGTAAGAGAAGTTTGCTTCGACACTGGAGTGAAAGTGCTTATTACCCTAAAATAGCTTCCACCTAATGGTAGGTGTCTCCCTGTAGGAGCTGGCCTAACCCATCTGTCCCTTCTCCCTCCAACTCATCTTCAGCCACCACCACAGGCACCCCTACTCCAATCACTGTAGTTTCTGCTACTTAGCACACAACATTGCTACTTCTGACAGCTGCCTAGATTGACTGATCAATGACCCTGCCCTCAGAATCTCTGATTGACCCTCCAGAGTGCAACATCAGAAACTTACTTCTTTAGCTTTTTCCTTTTCTGAATAAGCAAATCCTCATTGCACTGGAACAGCAGGGTGTAGTGTGAGATAAAAACCCGGAGGCGCTGAACACACACCAGAAGTAGGTAATAGTCAGGGTGTTCCTGCTCCGTGAACTTCAGGACATTCTGAATGGAAATAAAAAGGAAGTAGCATTATAGAATTAGAGGGGAAAGTTGTCTCTTTGGTGCTGCAGTAAGGGTTTCATAGCCGTTTAATCCATTCAACCATTAATACATATGACTCATCTGCTCACTGAGAGATCAAACTTGCTGCTTTTAAAAAAAATTTATCATAACACTTTTATATGGCCTTTCTTAACATGGTCTTTCAAGGTCCATCAAACATAAGGATAGGATTATGCAAATCAGGTGCTTGTAACCCAGCCGGGAGACTGGACAGCTTGCTAATAATGCATACAAAGTGCACGGCCTTCTTGAGGGGGATGGTGGTTGTTGTTTGGTGTCATTGAATCGGCTCATAGCAACCTTATGAATAATGGATCTGACCTTTCCCCTGTCCTGCCCCAGCCTCATCACCTTGGATTTGCTTGAGCCCATTGTTACAGTCACTGCCAGTCCATCTTGTGGAGGATCTTCCTCTCTTTTGACAGCTCTCCACTTTTCCCACCATGATCTCTTTTTCCAAGGACTGGTCCCTCTTAACAACATGCTCAAAGTATATAAGCTAAAGTTTCACCATCCTTGTCTCTAAGGAGCACTCTGGATATGCTTTCTCCAAAACATATTTGTTTGTCCTTTGGGCAGGAAGGTGTATATAACCCTAATAAAAAGCAACAACAACAAAATCCCTAATAAGAAAATTGATCAGTTTTACCATCCCACTAGTCTTGAAAGGAGTCATCTCAGAGATGGACAGGGGAAATTGACCACCACCAAGAAGAAGAGACAAAATCAGAACATGTCCTTTGTCCTGGATTCCATTCACTAGGAACATCTTAGACTAAAGAGATAGGTGTAACACTAGAGACGACCAGAGACAGTGAGAACCAATGGCAGACAGACAGCAGGAGTAGAGGCAGCAGCACCTCTGTTGGCAGAGGGGACTGGCAGGATGTGGAACAGTGGGCTTCCTGGCCCTCAGAGCCCACAGAATGAAAGAACTGAGTGTTTCTGGTCAAGGCTCAATGATAGAGTGAGGTGCTTCCAGGCATGTACTGGCGGAGATGAATATCTTTGTATTAATCCCCAGGGCAGAGCTGAGTCCAGGTCCTGACTGAGAGGCCAAGAGCCAGAGCTTGTTGAAGAATTATATCCTGGAGTGTTTCTGACACTAATTTGTAGTGTTACTTCTCTAATAAGTCCCATAGCCATGTGTATTGTCTGTGACTTCTGTGTGGCCATTGCAAAGAATTAAGGAACCCAGCAGAAGAGGTGAGAGTGTGTAGGAGAGGAGATGTTGGAATGAGATGTAACTGACCTCCACCTCATAAGATTTAGCCTGGACTGCTGTTGATGATGATATTATCTCTTCCTCCTGAAGTTAGAGGATGTCGACACCTCCACTACAACACTTTATACCCTTGGTGGCATGGTGGATTAAATGAGGGACTACTAACTGATAGGTCAATGGTGTGGATTCGCCAGCCACTCCACAGGAGAAAGTAGAGACAGTCTGCTTCTTTCCAAGAATTATAGCCTTAGAACTGTAAGAGGCAGTTCTGCTCTGTCCTATAGGGTCAGAGTATATGAGTCAGAATTGACTAGGTTTGGGTTTGAGCTGAATGGGAACATTAGAAACTTTCACCTAAATTTTTAAAAAATATTTATTGACTAGATCACTGAGGTAATAGAAGCATTCTAACAGTTGCTGTCTATTCACAATGACTTATGTGGTGAAATGTCAGGCACTGAGGCAGACATTATAATCATCCATGGCCTGAAGCTCCCTCCTCCTTCACTGCCTACTGTGCTGTGATATGATAGAGTAAGCACTGGACTTGGAATTAGAAAGTTAATGTATATAGAGCATTTCCTATTGCCACCACTAAGACCTTTACATTATTTCATTTAATTTTGACAATCACACCTATTAGATAAACACAGTTATTATTTTCCCTTAACAAATAAGGAAATGGAGGTACAGGAAAGTTAAGTACTCTTCATGGGGTTACACAGGTAATGAGTAATGGAATCAGGATGTAAACTCGAGTCAGGCTGCAGAACCTGGCCTCTGAATCACTACATGTTCCTATTTGCCAAGCCTGGCAGTCTGTCACCTATATGTATGAACTTGGGCAATTTCATTAACCTCTTTGACCTCAATTTCCTCATTTTAAAAAAATGACAGCATGACACGTACTCCATGGGGTTGTTGAAAGGGCTAAATAAACAACTATTGTGAAAAGTACCTTTCAAATCTGAAGCCAATATACAAAGCAAAGTCCTCTTAATATCAGTAGATGACCTGGCTACCTGCACCTGCAATTGGACCCAAGCATTCCTAAGACGCTTTCACTGAATAACTTAGGAATAACTGTTAGTAATTAAACCAGAACAGGTGGTTGATGAGAAGAGGATGAAGGGGACAAGGGGATTGATGAACCTCCCTCTCAATTTCACTTCTTCCAGGGATGTACAAACTTGTGGGGAAATGTTATGGAGAAGTCAAATAATCGGATTCCTCAGGCCTTTCCTGTGCTATAAAACAAGAGCAACATCTAGGAGATGCTTGGTCAAGCCCAAAGACAGCAACCAGAATTGAGTAAACAGGTAAGGGGTGGGCGTCCTGGGTCATGGGTAGGGGGACACTAAGGTGGGCTACAGAACCAAAGCAGGAGGATGAGTAAGATGCTCAGAGCTTGAACAGAAAGATCAGCAGAGGTGGAGGTTGCCATCAAATGAAGAAAGAGCTTTAACGACAGGCATTAAGAGCCAATATAAATTTTTTTGGGAGTTGAAGGCACTCTGGTGGCCTGGTCTGTGGGGACTTGTGCTGCTTACCCAAAGGCTTTGCAGCTCTTTGGCAGTTTCAATTCACTGGTGGCTCTGTGGGAGAAAGGTGGGAAGTCTCTCCTTGCACAATTTATAGCCTTGGAAATCTAATGAATTCAACTATGAGTTGGTTCCAAATCTAGGGTAATGAGTTTGAGTTTTTCGAGACTGCTAGCTCACGTTTCACGGTGGGGTTAGAGTAATCATAGTGACCTAACCTACAAACAGAAGTTCTGGTGATTCTTTGACCCTTTCCAGTGTTCCTTATTTGGCAGCCAAAAACCACTGTTTAGTGTGAAGGTCAGCTTGGCGGCTTGCCCAGCCACACCTACCTGCAGATGTATTAGATACTCCGGGATGCGTTGGACGATGTGAAAAAACAGTGTGTAGATGTCAGACTTAATCTCTTCATCACCCTGAAAGAAAGAATGAAAGAACGGTGGCATCAGGCCTTCGTGCCTCTCAGCTCTGGCAGCAGAGCCCCGGAGTCAGGCCTACATTTTACCAACAGCTTCTCATGCAGCACTGGGCACTCGTGGTCAGCAGCATGCCTCAGGAGGGCATCTCTTGCAGCCAGGCCCTTCATATATTTCTGCTGAACTCCTAGAGCATTCCAAACTAAGCCTCTCTCTGCTACAACATAGCTCAGAGCTAAATGGAAGTGGGCCTTAGTAATTAGGCTGACATGAAAGAATCCATCAAGTTTCTCCAGCAATTAATCACTACAATGGCTTTATGAATGGACCTTCAGGGTCACTGAGGCCTCATAAGAGTCAGGAAAGGCATAGTGTGGGGAGTATTTGAAATTTGGCCAGCTGGGGGGCAGCGGCAAACATGTTGGGCTTTCTTCATGTCCCTTCCCTTTCTTTCTTTTTCAAATACTTTCTGAGTACTAACATGTGGTAGGGAATCCCGGGGTGTCAGATATGGTTAATTACTTGACAACTTGCTGGTAATCAAGGCTGGTGGTTCAGCCTCTGGGCACCTGCTTCTAAAAGGTCAATGCTTTCAAGACTCGATAGAACAGTTCTCATTTATGTACATGGGGTCACTGTGAGTTGAAATGGACTCAACAGCAATAACAAATGGAGATATGTACGGAGTTGGGAGTCATAACAAGGTTGAAATGAAAAGGTAGAGTTTTATTCCATACAGTTCACTTCTTGTGAAATTTGATTAATTCTCAGCTTTCAAGTTTCTTTTCTCGCCCTGTTGCTTTAAAATAGTTGGAATTGCGGGGGGGGGGGGGGAGGTGCGCGCACACGCGTGCGCACAAGCGCTTATTGAGCACCTATATATTACTACATTAACACGACTTAAAACATGACTAAAACTACTTTATACTCTTATTGCCTCACAGACACTGGTGACCCGAAGTTAACATTCAAATTCTTATCTTCTGAGTAGGAAAAAAAAAACCCTACATACAGCATGCCAGCTGGAGACTTAGAATCTCTGCTTAGGACACATGACGAATCTGTGAATAGCTCCAGTGGGTCGGCACAGAGAGCCAGGAAGACAGGCAAAGGCTAATAGCATGGCACTGAGCCTCTACTGGTTTCCTCTAAACTCACAAGGCAGCAGCAGGGGATCAGTTCAAGTGCTCCCCTTGCCTAGAAAGCAAGCTGACGTACATGCACTAGATGATGACAGAGTGGATGGACAGCTTCCTGTAGACACACAGATAAGGCAAGGGCAGCACATACATACAGTTCACTCACCTCCTTCAAAACAACAACATGGACCAAAGAGATGCATTCAGGCAAATCCCTTAAGTAGGCAACGTAGTAATCCAAGAAATTATTCTTGAAAACAAATTGAAAAATGCATTGTGAGAACATGGAAATAGGAGTGATAACAACTCATAGTTTCTTATAGCCATATAGATTTAAGAAAACAGGCATGCCTGGCAGAGGTTAATTTTAATCATTCTTTTAGTATGATCATTTAAACACCAACCTCGTAGATTTTAAACAAATCTCTTTTTTTTTAAAGGTAAACAGTCCTGTGGACTGAGAACTAAAACTTGATAGCTCTATTTTAATGAAAGAGAAATGATAAACAAAAATGGGAGATTATATAAGTTTAAAGGTATTTTGTTTTTTTAATTCATTTTCAGTTTAATAATTTATATCTAAATAAGGAACTTAGCTCCTCCTGCTTCATATTGTCTAGGCCAGTAAGATAGGGCATCTTCTCCAGGGTGGTATCCTGTCCAAGAAAACAGTTCTCAGTAATTAGATATGTTCCCATAGTGGTAATGATTCTCAGCTCAGCAAACCATGTTAGTATTTTTATGTGTTGTCAAGTTGGAACTGACTCAGAACTTTCAGGTTTTCAGCGGCGGTAAATCACACAGGAGGAGATTGCCCAGGATATCAGAAGGATAACATTAAGTATATTCTATTGTATATAGGTAAATCACTCACCAACTTTGTGTTGTTACTACTTTTGAGAATTGTTGATAGAGGTTTATTGTAGGCAAAAATCTGGCTTGCTCACCAATTTAAATCGGCCCAAACAATATTTTTAAAATAAGAATATGTAGTCCAAAATAAGGTGCATAGCAAAGTGGAATGGGGGTGAGGAGGATATTATGCAACAATGAGTGAAATTTTTTTTTAAGTAAACTGTGGGGAGGGGGAGGGAGAGAAATGTGCAACAATGAACGAATGAAAGTCCAACCTTTATGCAAACTTTCATTAAAATCATGATTGATAAAAAAAGAAAATGAAATAGAAAATTCTAAATTTCCAGTTTCTCTTAATAATCGCCCAAAATCTGTTAACCCTTCCCTGCATAATAATTGGTAATGCTGAGGAGCAGTTCCTTATAGAAAAACACATGTGCTCGGCTAGGCATGTTATCTCCAGCACTTGTCTTATAGACTGTATTACCTTCAGCGCAGTTCATTCATTTACGTTACTGTTTCTGCGTGTTCTGTAGACTGTCTGAGGGGGCCTACTGGGTTGGGATTTGCATTGTCATCCCCAAAATGGGTGGTCTGAGGGAGAAAGATTAGAGCACTCCCTAAAAAAGATTAGACCACTAAAAGCCCACTGGAAGGTCTGCTATGAATCAGTTCTTACTTGACAGTGAGCCTGTAGCCATGGGCATGAGTTTTTTTAGGCATTTGAATTTGTAACTTGGCCTGGATGGTATGGAGGCCATACCATCCTTCTTATAGAGGATGTTACAGAAACTTCAAAACTTAGCAATCCACATAAGTGAACAGAAAAAGCACTCTATGGTCACCCTCCACATTTTAACGATCTCTCAGAAAACATATGTGTTAAATAGCAGAAAAGTGAAAGAGCATGAAAATCAAGTTATGGCAGGTTTAAAAAGTAAACAAAACCAAAATTCAACCCAGAAAAACCCTCCCAAACTTACCTCATCATTGGTCAGTTTAAGGAATAGGTCTCCGAGGACTCCTTGGCGTGGCCACTTGAGGACCCTTTCCTGCAGAGCATGAAGCAAATCCAGGTGCTGCTGGACAAGATACCGTAAAGAGCCAGGGAAGAGGCTTGAAACAGAACAGAGACAGAATCACACAACCAAGTACAGAGAAAGAAGACCTTATAAAAATATATGTTGTTGTTGATTGCCTTCAAGTCGAGCATGACTCATAGTGACCTTATGAACAAAAGGCCTGAAGCCCCTCTACAACTATCAACATTCATCAAAGTTCATAAGAGTTTCCAGAGGCATGTTATTTAAGAAGTGGGTGCCACCCCTGCCTCCAATTATATGTAGCAGGCCCCATTTTCCCAGTCAGTCAAAATAGCCTATAACAGTCTACAGTTGTTGTTGTTATTGTGTACCATCGATTTTGGAACCAACTCAAAGCTAACCCTCCAGTGGGCTTTCAGAGGCAGTAAACTGAAGGAGATTTTCCATTTTTCTTCCATTAAGCAACTGGAAGATTTGAACCACGTGGCTTTGAGTTAGCAGCACCAACTCCTTACCTCTTGGTTCTAGAGCTATGGTTAGGTGTTTGTTTGTTTTAAAAAAGAATTTGTTCTCAAACCCGATACAGCATATAATCTCAGACTATAAAATTATCCTTTATTACTATTCCCTGTACAAATGCCTGTTGAACATCACGTAAAGAACCTTTTAAAAACTAACTGGGGGAATCGGGACACACCCCTGCATCTCTGACCCACAACCCCCATCT